CAGCGGATTGTCATGGTAATGTGGTTTTGGCTATCGCATGTTGGAGCCGTGGTCAGATTAAGGAACTTTGTGATATTCATTTTAAAAAGAGGATGCTTAACATGGAGAGGGTGTGGAACTTGAGGATTCAATATTTTGACTTCGGATATTTTTTTTTGGTTCCATTGACAGTACCCGGTACAAAGCGCTCTTCTGGCATTGAACTGATGGAAGAAATAAAACTTATCTATGCTTTACGTCATTACAACCTGAAAATATTTCCAAAGTAAAGGGCTGGCTGGCTCCACACTACCACAGAAAACTTTTACTAAAGTGGTAGTGCCACTTAATCCTTGTTAAGGTCGCTCCTGTGGACCTGTGTCCTAGTACAGGATCTTAGCCCTCAACAAAGAATGTACAGCAATGTACTCTGAAGACCATAAGGCTAGATCTGGGAGGGCTGCAGCGCCCTCTGAATATGTAGTGTTGGGGGACAGGCTTCTCGGTGCTGAAAGTCACTGGCTGACTGGGATGTAATTCTGTGTACTAAAAATTGAGGGGCTACAAGTGAGAGGGAATCTATCTCCAAGCCCCACAGATATTGCTCCCATCAGAGAAAAATAAAAATCCCTCTGGAATCACATACCCTTCCATTTCTGACAGAAAATTCAGCTCCATAATAATTTTATGGGACCAACCACTGTCACACACGTGGTCAACCCTTGACCAAAATGTCGTTATGTGGAGCATGACTATTAAATGGGATCAAATCAAATGGTAAAAAACAACTAATGTTTTTTTAACATAATTAAGAACAAGAAAGCAGGAACAAGGAAGGAAGGAAAATAACATAATTACCCACAATACTTCTGAACACGTGTTCCAATGGTGGAGGCAGGGGGCAGCAATGAGTGCAACCAGGTAATCCTTTCTTGGTTATGATGAAACATATGGGAAGGTATGTTTCAGAGCACTATGATGTATGATCTTGTTTTGTGCTAGTTTAAAAGATAATAGAAATTTAGGAAACAATTGTACAGAAAGAAAAACAACAACTTTCTTTACAAGATAATATTAGTAATACAATTTTGGAACATGAAAAAAGTAAAGTTTAGAACTTTAAAATTTAAATTAAGGCTCTAGATATAGCTATAATTTACTAGAAGTACAAAAGACAGAACCACATTTTAACCCCATGAGGAAACAATTCTACAAGATAAATAGCTCAGTTTCTCCAACAAACAAAATGCATGGTAGAAAAAAGAATGACTGAGACTTTAAAATAATATTTAATTGCAATACATGAACTGATTGGACCTTATTTGGATCTTGATTCAAAGTATTACAAAAATTTACCAAAAAGGAAGAATTTGAACACTGAGTGATTTGATGTATTAAATAATTATCTTTTAATTATTTTTACTCGTGATAATGGTAGTGTGATTTTTTTGAGACCTTAGTTAAAATAAATGCTAACATATTTACGGATGACATAACAAAATATTGTGAATTTGCTTAAAAATAATTGCGGAGATAGAAGCGAATAGGAACCTAGAAGCCACCGATTAGTCAAGAATTGATATCCACTGAAGCTAGGGATGGGTAAAAAGATGGTCTTTATATTGTTCTCTTTACATGTAGATATTGTTGAAATTCTCCATTGTAACATGTTAAAATTTAGTGCTCACAACAAAGAACTTCATGAAGAAAAAGAATTCTTACTACGCTTTTTTTTTTAAGAAAAACTAAGACCTTAGAAAAACTAAAAGATGTGTAAATTCAGTTTATAATGAGGCAGACCACAATCCGGAGGCTACAGACCTTTATCCAGTGTCTTTCTACGACCTCTAAATCCATAGAATTTTATGCTCCTACTAGGTGATATGCCAGATCATTATTTATAAATGAGATGAACACTCATGGAATAACTCTCTAAGCAATGCATTCTTAGGTAAATGGGAGTGTTTTGTAAACCTTGTAAACAAGTTCTAAAAATGAACCAGCCCTCGGAGTATTTTTTATCACCTTTCCCTCAGGAAAAACACTTGTCAAAAACTGAATGAACTTCATTATTGCTTCAGTAATAACTAGCTTCTCTGAATAAATGAATAAAAGTTACTACTTCTAAAAGTAGTGTGCCATTTAAATTAATGTAGCAGTTTTGGCTCCATCTTCAGGTGCCAAAGGAACAGACAAAAAGGTAAACATTAAATTGTATGTGATTTCAACCACAGTTACAAAAACACTTATATCCTAGGGGACAAGACAGGAAGGAAAAAGGAGACCAGGGTAAGGCACAAAATTTGATGGGGATGGTGGAGTGGGGAGATAGAAATTAAATGCTCAGTTTTAAATGGTTCAATGTGGCTTGTTTTATAAAATACGTAGTTTGGTATGAAAATGTATTGGTCTTTATCTCTTTTGACAGAAATAAATACCTCTATGTTTACAAAAGTATGCTTATGCAAATTTTATGGTAATAAAGGCATTAAAAGCCAGATAGCAACAGAAATGTTAAGAAACAAAATAACAGAAATTAAAAGCAAAATAAAACTCTCAGAATAGAGATTTTTTTTTTCATATTCCCTTATACATTAGTTATTTCCTGAAAGCTTGGTTTCATTTTGGTTTATCTTGGTCTTTTCACATAGTTTGTAAATATTCTATTTTGTGGTTAAAACTAATAACTCTCCTTGTCATCAACCCAAGCCTGGTTCCCTAAAGTATTTTTAAATTTCAAAGTTAATTGAGCTTCTGAGCACAGTCATGCACAGAATTCTAATTTGCAGTGGAAAATCGGCACCATGCCTGATGATGTCTCCCTGGAGACAGAGCATCAGGTAGTTTTGTCAATCAAATCAAAGTCATCGTGTTCCCTTCTAATTTATTATAGTTATTTATATGTTTACTTATGTCTTCAAGGAAGATTTGATTATGAATTATTTACTGTTGTTATTCACCAATCACCACATAGAGACCAATTTGGGAATGATGTCTGCAAATTTCCAGATAGAGAATACGAAGCAATTTATGTGATAAACTAATGACACCACGGAGAGAAGGGAAATTATTCTACATGAAATACCTTCCTCAAACTCTTAGCAATGTTTCAAAACCTAATTTTTCATTCTCCTCCACAAAGTCTTCTTTAATTATTCTTGTTGATCCATTAAACTTATAGTTTCCTTCTTTGAGAATGAAATCTTTCTTGTCCCATATATACAACTCTTGGCCACAGATATTTTCCTTTATTTAAATTTCAAATAGGACTGCAGAGCATGATTAATCCATTTTTCTCCAATAGTTTGTATGTCATTTTATTAGAAGGTTTTGTATTATTATTGTTGCCAACAAGAGTTACTGGTGAATTTATTGACCGAATGGCCCTGTGGTAGATTATAATATTGACACAAATTCTTAAGTATTCCATATATTTACATTATTTGCCATGTGATTTCAAAGTGTTCTTTAATGGTAAGGAAGGGGACATAATTTGCCTTCTCTGGAGCTAGCTATGTGACATTTATTGGGCAATATAATGTTAGCAGAAGTGTCATCTGCAGAGGCTTGAAATGAGATCACATATTGAGAATTATTATCTTATACTTCTACAAATTCCGTAAAAAAGACATTCCCAGGTTAGCCCAGGAGAAGGACCAGGAACACTTGCAGCAGAATTGAGAGGCCCCAGTAATAACATCTGAGGTCATCCTAGGTCAGCCGAACGTGGCCCAGGCAAGATCAGTGGAGCAACCCATGTGACCAACCCAGATGCATGAGCAAAATACTTATTATTTAATGTCACTGAGTTTTTGCAGTTATTTATTATGCAATAGTGTCATGGTGATAAATACTAATGTAAGCCCAAACAAAAATATTTTTAAAATAATTTACAAAGAAGTAAAACTAGAGAAAGTTTTGTGTAAAGTTTACTAAATTTGTTCAATTAAACTTGGAAAGAGGATATTTGAGGTAAGAATGTATTCATTCATTCACTATAAAAACAATTTTCATCAACCTGCTGCACTGAGACAGAAACTGCAATTGGCAATAGAGGAATAAGAATAATGAGACACAGTTATTACTTTTAAGTAAACTAGTAAACTGACAATATGTTCATAGTATACTGCTTTGACTGGCAAACACTTTCACAGGTTTCTATGCAAGCCAGCCAGGGGCAATAACTCAGATAGCAACATTTAACAGATAAGATTTCCTGGAAGAAGTACTTGTTGAAATGCCAAAAGGACTTTTGGAGTCATCAGGAAAAGGCGAAAAGGGATCTGCCTAAACAAAGACTGAGAGCCCCAGGCCAGGTCAGCACATTTTGAAGGAGAGAAAATTATTGGGTATTCTTGGAACACCATGTATACAGATGAGGTTGGAAAGTGAGGTACAGCCTAGAAAATTAGGGTCTTATTAGAAATGATAAAGACTTTGGACTTTATTCAGAAGGTTGTGAGAATTGATTATCATTTTCTTAAAGAGGAGTGGCATGATAAGACTCATATTTTAGGAAGATTACTCTGGTGGAAAGTGTGAGAAAGGACTGGAGTGAATAAAGCAGTCCAGGTGAGTAATGATGAGGCCTAAATGGAGACAGAACAGTGGACGTTATAGTAAAAGATGTTACAGAAGTAGAATCAACTGGTCGTGGTAATAGAAAGTAAATGTTATATTAGAGAGGGAAAAGTCCAAGACTTCTGGATTAAAAGAAATGGTTAATGAAGTGAGGGGGGTATAAAAAGAGTAGTTTGGAAAGGGGAAGAATGTGTTAAGTTTGAACACCATGTTGAGATTCAGGTATCTCCTCCATACTGCAGGAAATTACATAGAAAACTGAGGACAAAAAAGACAAGAGCATCAAGTGGATACGGTAACAAATATGAGCATGATCAACATATTTCATTATAGTTGAAGTGAGTGAAATGAGCATGTACAGTGAGACCCCAAAAAAAGAAAACACACCACCATTAAAAATATAGGTGGGCTCTTTTCCGGTTTTCACGGCGTGAGGCAATATGAGCAGCAAAGTCTCCCGCGACACCCTGTACGAGGCGGTGCGGGAAGTCCTGCAAGGAAACCAGAGCAAGCAAAGGAAGTTTTTGGAGACGGTGGAGCTGCAGATCAGCTTGAAGAACTATGACCCTCAGAAGGACAAACACTTCTCGGGCACTGTCAGGCTTAAATCCACTCCCCGCCCCAAGTTCTCCGTATGTGTTCTGGGGGACCAGCAGCACTGTGACGAGGCCAAGGCCGTGGATATCCCCACATGGACATTGAGGTGCTGAAGAAACTCAACAAGAATAAGAAACTGGTCAAAAAGCTGGCCAAGAAGTATGATGCCTTTTTGGCTTCAGAGTCTCTGATCAAGCAGATTCCACGAATCCTGGGCCCAGGCCTGAATAAAGCTGGCAAGTTCCCTTCCTTGCTGACCCACAATGAGACTATGGTGGCCAAAGTCGATGAAGTGAAATCCACCATCAAGTTCCAGATGAAGAAGGTGCTTTGTCTGGCAGTGACAGTTGGCCACGTGAAAATGACAGATGATGAGCTTGTGTACAACATCCACTTAGCTGTCAATTTCCTGGTGTCATTGCTCAAAAAGAACTGGCAGAATGTCTGAGCTTTATATATCAAGAGCACCATGGGAAAGCCCCAGCGCCTGTACTAAGGCAGAGCTTAATAAACAGTAGTGCTACCATTAAAAAAAAATTAAAAAATATATATATAGGTGGTTCGCTAGCAGAGATCCCCAGCAAAAATAAAATATAAAGAAAAAAATATGTATATAGGTGGTAAGACATATTAGGCTTGGAGACCAGTTGAGTGGATTGAATGGAAGGATGAGAGATCAGGGACATGATGCCACAAAGAGAGGTGTTCAAGTGGACTAAGCTGAAAAAGGAAGGAAATAAACTTAGAATGACGTATTTTTTTCTTACATATAAAGGCAACATATTGAACACAAGAAGGGTTCTAAATTGTTCTATTTGACTCAGGAATAAAGTGAAGGGCTTAAAATTTTGAGTAGAAATTTCACTTGAACTACGTGGAGAATCAAGTGTCATAGTAAAAGGTTAGCGTGACTGTCTTTATACTGTAGCCCTATCTAGGCCAATGGAAGCATATTTCTTGCAGCTAAAGTTTCTTGGCAATCGTTATGATAATGGCATATTGTATTTTCCAAAAATGGCCACAGCAACACTTCCAGTTCTACATGCTCTTCCAGAACCTTGCCACTCCCCAAGAGGTAGTATTATTATACCTACCCAAGCCCACCTCAAGTCAGGGTATGATTATATAAGTGCCTCAATGAATAAAATATCATGGGAGTGACTTAGCGATGTGTAGGGCTGGGTCAGAAAAGGTGACACCTGTATAATCTCATTTAATGTCTATAACAAGCTTTGGAGGTAGGTTCTATATCACCTCCATTCCATATGTGGACTATTGAGATACAGAGCTTAGGTAACATGATAAAGATAATACAGGTGGTAAGTGCCAGAACTGGCAAAGACTTGATGTGTAGGATTTTCCCTCAAAACTGTGGGTTTTAAACCCAAGCTCTGAAGCCTAATTGCCTTAGTTTGAATCGCAGTTCACTCTAAGATATCATCTCTGCCAAACACAACGATACTAACACTTAGTACCTTTTAAATGCAATCCATATTAAGATAATGGGCTATTTAAAATACTGGGATATCAGCTTTAATGTATTCTTTTGGTAGTTTTCCAAATTTCATGTACAGTCACAAAAGTTAAAGCTAATTAAAGAAATCTATGTGCATTATATATCTAAACAAATAATATTATGTTGCAAAGTTGAAAGTTAGTTTAAGTAATCTAGTTGAATTAAGTATAATTTGATATAATATAGTACACTCATTTTTAATTCAGAACTTTGTCCAAGTATACGTCTCCTAAGAGGGATCCCAAGAAAGTCCTAATGTGCTTTTATTAAAAAATCACTTTTTTGCTCAGACTCCAGCTAGTGGCTGGGCTGCAAGAACATTCTTTTAGGGCCACGGGATTTTATTCAAGTATCTACAGAATATCACACTCTCCATCTGGATGAGCCTTACTGTGGCAACAGGAACGCTCCAAAACAAAACTTTATGATGTTCAAATTTTTACGTAATATGTATTATTAATGATATGGTTACTTTTTCCCCTACATTTTGAAACCACTCATTTAACACAACTTTTTATGGAAAATAATAAAAGAAGCAGACACTGGCAAGAGAGGTAATGTGAGTGGAAGGGTCATGACAAATATAGAAACTAAGTGTGATGAAATAAGTCTGAAAATTGGAAAATGAGAGGGGGACATTGGAATTAAGAATTTCGGTGTTTCTACTGTTCTAGGTGACACCAAATATAAGGCACAGTCACTGGAGAGGGAATCGAGTCTCTGGTGCTGAGAGTTAATAAGTCGTTAGCTAGGGTTCAAAAGTGTTATAACACATGGACAAGGCATTTAGGGGATCACTGTGCAGGAAAGGGGGTTAATCAGTTGCCAGAGTTCTTCTTCATGAATCTGTGCATTTACAAAGGCTGTTTCTTCTGCCTGGAATATCTTTATAACCACCCATTTGCCTGTCAAACTCCTATGCCTTTTTCAAGCACCAGCTCAGATCTCAACTACTCTATGAATCATTGCCTGTGAATCATGTCAAATTAATTCCTCCAAGCTTTCTGATCTTATAGCATTTTATTCTCACCTTGGTTATAGCATTTAACAGACTGGACTGTATCTTTATTTTTACAAATACATCTCACCATTAGACTGTGAACTTCTCAGGGGGAGCCACCAGGTCGCATTCTCTTTTGTAAGCTCCATAGGATATATAGTGCTGGCCAGGTAGCCAGTTCACAATATTATGTTTATTAAGTTAAATAATGGGTAAGAACATTCCGGAAGGCATAATTTATTCTTACTCAAGAGAGCAGGGAGAGTGTCATATAAAAGTAATCAGTCCTACCAGAACTTTTAAGAGGTGTAAGTTTTCACTAATCGGAACTAGAAGGAGGGCAATCCAGGCTGAGCAAACTATAAAAGCAAAAGCACAGCATGTGAAGAGGCCAAGTGCATTTAGAGATGAGTTGGATTCATTAGTACATTAGTACATCATTCATTAGTACATTCATTGAATTGATCACCTCTCTATTCCAAGCATCGTTCTAAGTACAGGGAAAGCAGATAAAATAATAATACATTGTTATTACCCTCAAGGTGCCATTGTCTAAAGAACAGAAACCAAACATAAAAAGAGGGACAAAGCATTATGCAGCATGGAAGCGTTATTGCAGAAACATGATCTAAGCCTCAGGATAGCACAGAGAACGAGCAGGGAAATTAGCTATGCTGGGCGGCTTGGAGGAGGCCATTCACGGGGATGACATTTCAGTGAGTATTTCAAGGTGAAGAATGAAGAAATGAACCTTCTTGATAAATAAGGAATAGTATGTGCAGATGGTTTTTTTTTAAGAACTGCATTACAGAGGGCCTTGTTTTCCCAGGTAGGGAACTATAAATGTTATTTTGTAGACAATAGTAGGCCAATAAAAGTTTTTAAACTGAAAAGAGATTAATCAGATTTATTTTAAGAGGAGACCATACTGGTGAGTCTGTGGAAGAGGCACTAGAAGAATGAAAAGGTGCTGGAGGCAGAGGCCAGTCAAGAGGTTTGCAACAGTTCAAGTAAGAGGTGAAGATGAAGCAGAAATGGAGAAAGACGCTCAAGAGATTTTGACATGGAAAACAAAGGATTTATCCTGAAAAATTATGTCAGAAGTTTTTAATTTATTTATGAAGTATTTAAAGATTTTAAAGATAGGAAAATATTTTAAAGAGAGGATTTTAATGGGCATTTTAGATTTTTCTTGTAGCAATGTGAATTCTAGAAAGACGAGCGACTGAAGGCAGAGAGATCTGTTAGGAACTTATTGCCAAGGTCCAGGAAAGAGATGTTGAAGGCTCAAACTAGAACTAAGGAAGAGGAAATCGAAAGAAATCAAAGGAGGAGTGTTAGAACTGATATATGAAAGGTAAGGGAGATGGTTCCTTCATTTATTTATTTATCCATTTGACAAACAGATGTTCGGATAACATGCACCAAGCAAGCACTTTGCTTGGTACTGAGAATTCGACAGTCAACAAAATAAACATCCCTTCCCAGAGCATATGGCTCAGTGTAAAGAGAGATAATTTAAGTAAGTAATTATATGAAGAGATTATAAATGTTCCATTATGAATGTAGAGAATGTATGGAAATACATATCCTCAGCACTCAATGTGGCGTAGAATGAGAGATGGTGACGTGTAGGCTGAAACCTAAAGAATGCATTAGCCAGGCCAAATCATCCAGGAAAAGAGTGTTTTGGATAGGAGGCACAACAGATGGGAGGGGGTCTGACGGGAGTTAATGATTGTGTTTAAAGCTGAGCAGAAGGTAAGGAAATGAAGAACACAAATGGAAGTAACTTGTTCAAGAAGTCTGGCTATTAAAGAGTTGGGTTATCTCAGGCCAATGTGGAATTAAAGCAGGATCTTGTTTTGTATTTTTTGAGTTACAATTTACACACAAGTAAATACACAAACTTTAAGTGTATAGTTCAAACAGTTTTGAAAAGCTATACACTCATATGACTAACCATCAGCTCATCCAAGGTATAGAACATTTCAGGTCAATCCTCCAAGGAAATCGCTGTTATAATTTCTATCACCACCACTTAGTTTTGCTTGTTCTAAAATTTTATATGAATGGAAGCATCCAGTATGTTCTCTTTTCTGTCTGGCTTCTTTTATTATTGTCTGGCTTCTGAAATTCTTGAAATTTCTTAATTTATGTTGGATATCACTAGTTTGTTGCTTTGTATTGCTGAGTAGGATTCCATTGTATGGACATACCATTCATTGTCTACCTATTCATCTGTTGATGAACATTTTATTATTTTAGAAAACAAGTCTTTTTATGGACATATATTTTAACTTTCTAGTACTACTGGGTCATAGGCTAGGTAATATGTTTGACTTTATAAGAAAATGCCAATGTGTTTTTAAAAGTGGTTATATCCTTTTAGTTCCCCACTAACAGTTTATGAAAGTTTCAGTTGTTCCACATAGTTTCAAGTAGTTGATATTTTCAGTCTCTTTAAATTTCAGTAACTAGAGTGAGCTTTTATTTGAGGATTTAGTTTGCAATTTCCTGATGACTAATAAATTCAAGCATTGCTCATAGGCTTATTGGTTATATATACAATCTTTTGTGAAGTGTCTACTGAAGAGGTTTTGCGTTTTAAGATAGAAGAGGTGAGAACATTTAGATGCATAAAACCAAGAATCAGTTGTAACAGAGAAGTTGAAAATAGAGAAAGAAAATTAAAACAGTAAGTTCTTGGTGAGAAACACTGCATCCATAGTTTGTAACCTATGTTACAAGTATTGAAGAAGTGACATATTTGCTTTTCTAATTTTGTTGGATGTAGGCTCAGAAACATTTGGTCTTTACTACTGACAATATAACTTTGAGAACATCCAGAAAATCTTGGATGATAGCTTATAATTATCCAAAATCACTTTTTCTACTACAGATTAACCTCTCCTGATTTTGAAATTTTATATCTGTACCCATGGGATATGGTTGTCTTGCATTTAAAGGGGACATGGTG